TTTTTTCCGTCCTCGGCCGGGGCTTTCGCGGGTCGGTCGTCCTCGCGCGCGCGCAGGGCTCACGGGTGGGCGCTCTGCGCTCGGTGGCCCCGCCGCTGCGGGGGACGGGGGGAAACTGCTTGGGTGGCAGGGAGGTGCCGGAACGCGGGCGAGCGAGGCGCGCTCGGACGGGTGTCCTTGGCTCGCCTCTGCGCCCTGGACCGCCCGAGCCGTGCTCTGCATCCTAATGCCTCCTCCTTCAGAGCCCCCCTCAGCAACCGAGGGGAGGAATTCCGCAGTTCCCTACCCACACAGCCAAAATCGCTCAGCTGTCGCCTCGGGAACACCGCATCCCACACCCCCAGCCGAGAGCCCCATCTCCATGGCACGCCAACCCCAGCCCTTCCTTCCCCTGCGGGTTCTGTACCCCGACAGGGAATCCCACTCTTGGGGGAGGAAGGAGGAAGTTTCATTTCGTTTTTTTAGTAGCCCACACAGCCTTTGACACACGTCTGCATAGAAGTCACAGGTTATGCTGTGGCAGCTGTGCGTCTCCGAGGTGCTTGACTTTGGCTTTAAAATGAAGGCTGCCAGACAGACGTCCACTTCCCCCAATGGGAGAGAAGGAGCTTTCAATCTCAAACCTATTCTTAAACCACAGATCATCGGCTCTGTCGGGGAGGTCTGATCAGAGCCTAGCACGAGATGTAATTTTGCCAGTATAAAGAGGTCATACTGAGTCAAGTGATGTGCTGTCCGCCAGTGATCTCTGCACGCAGACGTGGAAGCAATAGAATCGGGAGTTCAAGGTCGTCCTCGGACACTTAATGAGTTTAGAACCAGCCCGCGATGTTGCACCTTGTCTTAAAAATAATAATAATAATAATAAATTTAAAAAGCAGAGGAAGGTGGGAAGCCATACCAAACAGGGGACGGGGGACCGCTGCATTTGAATTCACGAATATTCTCACAAAGAGCAGGTTCCTGAAGGGAATCGGTTGCAAAATAAAGCATTTCGTCCACTCGAGTGTTTAGCAACGCAAGGCCCCCCACCCCCCAAAAATCACTTGAGTCGTCCCACAGGGCTGGGCCTTAAGACTTGAGAGATTCCTTCAACAGATGCAAATCGCGGTGCATTACCCGACTGAAAAAAGAAATCAAGTACGTCATTTCATTTAATTATTTCCAAGGAGTGGAGGCTGGCATGCAGTTCTGATTGATACTTGGGAAAGGGCCAACAGAACCCTACACGAAACAAACAAACACAAATTCTAGTGTATAGCAATGCACTCCCTAGAAGCAAGGTGGAAACTGGTTAGGTCACAGCCTCTTCGGAAGGATCAGGTGACTGCCTGCTAGGTGGGGGTGTGGTGATGGAGCGCCCGGTGGGTCTCCGGCCTCCTTGTGTTCCAGTTCTGCCTGGCTTCGTGTTCTTCACACCAACAGCAAGAGGCACCGAGGGCAGGAAGATCGCGCCCTGTCTCGGTCTGAAAATTGTCTGAGACGTTCACTGGGTCTAGGTTGTCTTTCTTTCTTTCTTTCTTTCTTTCTTTCTTTCTTTCTTTCTTTCTTTCTTTCTTTCTTTCTTTCTTTCTTTCTTTCTTTCCTTTCTTTTTTCTTGTAGCCCCTCTTTCAGGGCGGCAATTGCATCTCACAACAGGAGTTCCCGGTACTTCCCTCAGGCTATCTTCTTCATTCATACGTCCCCTCCTGAGAGATGCTTTATTATCTGAAGCAGCTAGCTCCCTTCCCCAGGGCACCCTCTATCACATTATTCAAGGTCCACTTCCCCCAAGCACCTGCCCATGGAAAAGACGCTGTGTTTTTTGTTTAGTTGCTTACTGTCTCCTAGTGGGCCACCCAGATATGAGCTCCGTGACAGCTGGTCGGTCTTGTCATTCCCCGGCATCATCCGCTGATCATTTATTGAGTACCTGCAGTTTAAGTGAATGAGAGTCCCCACCCTCCCCAACCCGTCAGTAACCTGCAAAGGGCTGTAACCAGCATGGAGGCCTCAGCAAACCTCTGCTGGACTCTGATTGATTGATTTCCATTCATGAACCAACACGACCGCCTCTGAGCCACTTGCCTTTATGTGCATGGTTACGCGAAACAGGTTTAAAACAAAAAACGAAGGCGAAACGACTTTACAGGGCTGTCAGAGATGAGCATGGTCTATATTCTCATAGGCACCGCTACCACATTCCGTTGCCCTTCTGGAATGTTCTTTTTTTTTTTTTTTTTTTTTCCGAGACAGGGTTTCTCTGTGTGGTTTTGTGCCTTTCCTGGGACTCACTTTGTAGCCCAGGCTGGCCTCGAACTCACAGAGATCTGCCTGCCTCTGCCTCCCGAGTGCTGGGATTAAAGGCGTGCGCCGCCCGGCCTGGAATGTTCTTTGCAAGTGTTTGTTTGTTTGTTTGTTTGTTTTTACTACAGACTGGAATGCTCCCTTAAACTACTAGTTTGATTTTGTTTTAGCTCAGCATGGGCCCCAGGCATATTATCATACCAGACAGGCCTTTGTTTCCCAGTCTCTTGGGATGCTGGAGACCCCTTGCTTAGAGGTTGGCAAAACTGATCATGAACCCAGACTCCCAAAGGCAGAATCCCCGATTACTCTTATTTAGAAACAAAGGTGGGAGAAACATAAATAAATAAAGGATTTATCTCAGTTAAAAAGAAGAAAAAGGGGCTGGGGAGATGGCTCAGCGGTTAAGAGCACTGGCTGCTCTTCCAGAGGACCTGAGTTCAATTCCCAGCACCCACATGGCAGCCCACAGCTGTCTGTAATTCCAGTTCCAGGGGATCTTCATACCAATGCAAATAAAATAAAATAAAATAATTTTTTCTGGAGCTGAGGACCGAACCCAGGGCCTTGCGCTTGCTAGGCAAGCCCTCTGCCACTGAGCTAAGTCCCCAACCCTTTTTGTTGTTGTTTTTTTTGTTTTGTTTTGGTTTTGGTTTTTCGAGACAGGGTTTCTCTGTGTAGCTTTGCGCCTTTCCTGGGACTCAACTTGGTAGTCCAGGCTGGCCTTGAACTCACAGAGATCCGCCTGGCTCTGCCTCCCAAGTGCTGGGATTAAAGGCATGCACCACCACCGCCCGGCTTGTTTTTGTTTTTTTTTTGAGACAGGGTTTCTCTGTGTAGCTTTGTAGCTTTCCTGGAACTCGCTCTGTAGCCCAGGCTGGCCTCCAAGTCACAGAGATCCGCCTGCCTCTGCCTCCCAAGTGCTGGGATTAAAGGCGTGTGCCACCACCACCCAGCCAAAAATAAAAAATTTTTTAAAAAAAGGAAGAAGAAATAGAAAGGACATGGTGGTACACACCTTTAATCCCAGCACTCAGGAGGCAGAGGCAGGCAGATCTCTGTGAGTTCAAGGCCAGCCTGGTCTACAGAGCAAGTTCCAGGCCAGCCAAGGCTACATAGTGAGAACCTGCCTTTTTAAAAAAGAGAAAATTGGGCCTCAGTTTGTTCTATGCACAGCGCTGTTCTCACTCCTTGTTTGCAAGGCTTTAATAAGAAAGGTTACCCTGCCTTCCAGCAAGGCTCCTAGCCACGTACTTAGTCACTTGAGGACACATGAAAAGGGAAAGAAGAGAGAGTGGGATGCACAAAGATGAAGTGAGATCGAAGACTATCCGAGGCATCAATAAAGGAGGGCATTAGCTAATAAAAGGCAGGTTAGTTTAAAAAGCTATTCAAACTAAAAAAAAAAAAAAAAAAAGCCAGGAGGTGACTTGCAAAAGAGGCCCGGCCAGTTCTCAGTCCTCTGCAGGCCTCCTGTGAAGTGGTGGAGGCCACAAGAGGCAGTCTGCTCCATATTTGGACAGCTCTAACCATTAAAGCAGCTCCATCCTGGGCAGAATCCACCTTCTCTTAGCTACATTCGTCCTTATTTAGCTCTCAGAAAACACCCTGAACAAGCTTAATCCCCCGAGTAGGTGCCCCTTTGAGTATGGCAAGATCTTTATTGCATTAATGTCTCCTTTCCTAACCATTAAGAGCAGCGGGGCATCGACGCTGTTTTCCTGTAGCCCGGGTCTCAGCCCCTCGGCCCCTCTGGACACGCCCAGTACTGAGCGCACAGCTCTGAGCATGACCCACCTCTGTCTGAAGCCTTCCGCTCACACACCGTAGTGTTACCAGCGAGCTCAAACCAAGGCCTTTACATGCAAACCATAGTCCTGTTAAATCTATTTATGGTATACTTAGCTTGTTGATTTTTGTGCATCTCAGGCACGGAGCCTGCCTATAAATGAATGTTTTTGTACTTATTATGATCTTTTGAGTTTTTATCTCCAAGTCTTTTTTTTTTAAAAGATTTTATTTCTTTATTATTATAATTATTATACAGTGTTCTGCCTGCATGTTAGAAGAAGTCACCAGATCTCATTATAGATGGTAGTGAGCCACCATGTGGTTGCTGGGACTTGAACTCAGGACCTCAGGAAGAGCAGCCAGTGCTCTCCAGCCCTCCAAGCCTTTTTTAAAAGATTTTTTTTTTAATGTGAATGAGTGCTCTGCTCGCATGTATGCCTGTGCGCCACTGTGTGCCTACCAGGTACCCTTGCAGGCCAGAAGAAGGCATCAGATCCCTTGGGACTGGAGTCACAGATGATTGTGAGCCACCAAGTAGATGCTGAGAATAGAACCTGGGTCCTCTGGAAGAGCAGCCCAGTGCTCTTAACTAATGAGACATTTCTCCAGCCCCCCAGATTTATTTTATTTTAACTGTGTGTTTGTGTGTGTATCTGTGTGGGGGTATGTGCACACGAGTGCAGGTGCCTGAGCGGGCCAGAAGGGGGCATCAGATCCCCTGGAACTGGAGTTATAGCTTGTGAGCAATCCAATATGGGTGCTGGGAAAAGAACTCCAGTCCTCTGCAAGAGCATTATGTTCTCTCTCTCAATCTCTTTCTCAAAAAATTTTTTTTTCAACTTATGCTTACTTTGGCAGTACATATACTAAAATTGGAACAATACAGAAAAGATTAGCATGGGCTGTGTGAAAGGATGATATGCAAATTTGTGAAGCATTCCATTATTTTTATGGTAGTTTTTGCTTCATCTTATTATAGTTTGTTTTGTCATGTTTGGTTATCTCTTAGAAGCCTGTTCTTTCCTAATGAGAGACAAAAAGGGAGTGGATCTGGAGGGCAGGGGAGACGGGAAGGAACTGGAAGGAGCAGAGGGACGGGGAAACTATAATCAGGATATATTATATGAGAAAAGAATCTGTTTTCAATAACAGGGAAAAAATGAAAAAGATTTAAATGTATTTGTATATATGAGTGTCTTACTTCATATTATATGCCTGCCTAGTGCCCTTGGAGGCCAAAAGAAGGCATCGGACCTCCTGGAACTGGAATTACAGATGGTTACACAATGTGGGTGCTGGGAACAAATCCCAGGTCCTCTGCACCAAGTGCTCTCTGCCACTGAGCTATCTCTCCAGCCCTGCCTCCAAACCGTTTTAGTGATCCATCCCAGATTTGATTTACACAATTTACAGGTAGGATGTCTATGTCACTAGCCAACAGGCCTTTTAGTGACTCATCCCAGGTTAAAAATAACTAATTGGCTGCATGTGATTCTTCAACTGTTAGAAATCTTTTTTTTTTTTAGATTGATTGATTGATTTTATGCATATGAGTGCTCTGTCTGTGTGTGTATGCCTTTATGCCAGAAGAGGGCCTCAGATCCCACTACAGATGGTTGTGAGCCACCATGTGGTTGCTGGGAATTGAACTCAGGACCTCTGGAAGAGCAGCCAGTGCTCTTAACCGCTGAGACATCTCTCCAGCCCTTTATAAATCTTATGACCAGAGGTTCCAAGGTCAAAAAGGAAAGATCCTGAAGGGTGCTCCTGCCTACTTATCCCCCTGACAGTTTGACATACGGTGTTGGAACATTACCCTTCCTCTGGTTGATGTAGTCAGCTGACTTGAAGGTCATGTACCGCAAGAAATGCCCATTTAAGCAACAGGACCAGACTGGGCATCACGAAATGCTTACACTGAGAGTCCAGAAGGAGCCAAGACCTCTGACAGGATTCCATCTGCCACCTCTTGCTTGCTCTGGATGTGTGCTTGTTGAGGGAGATGATGACTGCAAATTCGAGATCCTTCTGCCCCAGGCTCCTGAATGCTAGGATCATAGGTGTGCCCCATGTACTCTTGGCTGTCCATAAGAATTGAATGGGGCCGGGCGGTGGTGGCGCACGCCTTTAATCCCAGCACTCGGGAGGCAGAGCCAGGCGGATCTCTGTGAGTTC